AAACGCATGTTGCTAAGATGCTAAGAGCACATCCAAATGCATATTTTCTGTTATATATATATTTATACCGGTATTTATATATATATATGTGTGTGTGTGTATGTGTGTATGTATGTATAATATTATATATATATATATGTGTGTGTGTGTGTGTGTGTATGTGTGTATGTATTATATATATATATATATATATATATATATATATATATATATATATATATATATATATATATAATGTGTGTGTGTGTGTGTGTGTATGTATGTATAATATATATATATGTATATATATAAATAATACATACACACATACACACACACATATATATATACATATATATACTGTACATATACATATGTACAGTATATATATGTATATATATATGTGTGTGTGTGTGTGTGTATGTATATATATATATATATATATATATATATATATATATATATATATATGTATATATATATATAATACATACACACATACATATATATATGTATATATATGTGTGTGTGTGTCTGTATGTATATATATATATATATATATATATATATATATATATATATATATATATGTGTGTGTGTGTGTGTGTGTGTGTGTATATATATATATATATATATATGTGTGTGTGTATGTATATGTATGTGTATGTATGTATGTATATATATATATATATATATATATATATATATATATATATATATATATATGTCTGTATGTATATATATATGTGTGTGTGTGTGTGTGTGTGTGTGTGTGTGTGTATGTGTATAAAATGCTTCCAGAACTTCAAGTCAAATTCAAATGTGCGAATTGAAAATATTGATAAAAATATATTAAAGCCACATTCTGCAACTTTTACACCTTAAATAATGTTGTTTCGAAAAGTTTTGGCGGTATACCATCATCCATTACGTTCATTTTTGGAGCTGTGATGGTGTTATGGGGTCCCACATCTGTTTAACGCACTAAACAGTTTTTGACCCGTGGTCTGCCACCAGAAGTACTGGCTGCATGTCGCTTTACGGCAGTATCAGGTAGACGTAGACCTCATTGATATGAATACGTAAATGCCCCATTGGGCGCTGGATAGTGTTACGGCGTTGCCGCCATATTGGATGGGTCTCACTCTCCAAAGCAGTGACTGTAGAAAAGTCCAGTCAATGCAGCGTGAGCAACCTGTGTCTGATTTAGTGAAAAAACTTGATAAAATGTGTTTTTTAGTTGGGTAGCACCTTCCTTAGTAGAAATGAATGCACTGGGGGGCAAATGGAGACCCATCTAAAACGGCAGCTGGCCACTACGGCAGCGCCAGTCCATGTCTGTGGTAGACCCGCAGTTTCGAGACTTGAGCAATGGCAGATCCACCAAAGAAAGCTAGAAATCCCTCATCAGAGGAATCTAGAAAAAGAAAAAGAGAATGTGATAGAGCAAAAGCAAAGACCAGAGTTAATATTGGTCTGCCTTTTCCTCGCTGGAGAGCTCTTCTTGAAGGAACGGCACGAACTACAGACTCTGGCCTAGCTGTGCTGCTAACAGATAGGTAAGCAATAAATTATTTCACCAGGATTATTGTGTTTGGTCGGGCATAACGTTGTTATACAGTCCTGATAAAACATTATTTAATGCTGAAACACCGCTTAACGTGTTTGTTTGGCACGCGCCTTGGAAAACTGCCAGTAAACATGCGATGGAGAGATTAGATTTTACAACAGTGACGTTATGCAGCAAGCCTTGAGAGGGCGACAGAGAGCATATACCTGCAAAGTTCAGGAACGAGGTTTACTGACCCAACAAACCCTGAGAATAAACAGACGCTTGTTTTCAGGTGAAAAACATTTCCATTGCATATTAATGAACATATTTAAACTGTACAGTAACACCTCCTTCTCTGCTCATTCTATTGAATTTAGCTCCACTAGATCAAATTTCAGATGAAACCTCTCGATTAAGACCTGCTGTGACACTCTTTCACTAAACTCCTCTCATTTATCTAAGATTACACTCAGCCTGATGGTCAGAGCTCAAATTCAGAGCCACGGGGCCAAAGAAAGATTAGAGAAAAATGCAAGAACATCTATTACAATCATCTTAATTATTTTGTAACCACTCATCTAATGAGAGGCCAAGCCAACAAGCAGTTTGAGGTCTGAGGAAAGCCAGACAAATCAACTATGATCATGGGATAAAGTCCTCAATGATTGTAATGCCACAAGGCATCTTAAGTGGGTGACGTGCGAGCGTTGGGAAAATAAAATCCAACTGGGAAAAGTGATACTGACACATCCGGAGCGTTTAACGAGCAAAGGAACAGAAAACATCAGGAGTTTTGTAGAGTGGCCTAAGCACACAGATGGTGCTATTACAAGGGTTACACTGTAAATGTGTGTTTTTACTGCTGAAGTTTGTTAAGTTAAATCTTTCACAAACTGAAATATATTCAACTCAAAGAACATCCGAGCACACAACAACATAAACATCCAAATTCTAACAATAAAGTAAACACTGTGCAATAATGCTGCTTCAAATATTTCTAAATGTAATGTAATGTTGGTGTAAAAGTTATGATATTTAACATTTTTTTTCCTTGTAGCTAGACACCTGAACAGCCTCTGTTCAGAGAAACAGAGTTTGCATCCTACAAGACTAATATGCTAACAGCTAGTCAGAGTATAGCCAAGAATAATCTCCAAATCAGGACTGCACGATATTAGGAAAACCTGCGATATTCGATAACAATGATTAATATTGCGATGACGATATTACTTGCGATAAATAAAAACTTAACTCAGGAACAATTAGTAATGAACAAGAAAAGGCAATCAGTGGCCCCGGGAAAAGCAGAATCAGCAGAAAGAGCAGAGCAACGCTAACTCAGGAGCTAACTATCAAAATTAAGTGCGTCCGCCTCGGGGGCGGGCATCTAACCTATGAGAACCCACCCAATTGGCCAAATGGGTGAAGAGCTCTATTTGATTTGTTAAAAAAAAAATCATGCTTCCGTTTGGTTGACAGAATGCATTTTGTGTAGCAAACATTTGAGCTGACCATTCATTACGATATTTATCTGTTCTTTGCGATATGCATATTGTGCATGCTGATATCGCGATAACGATATATTTACGATATATTGTGCAGCCCTACTCCAAATTCTCATTTAATTTCATGCAACTACATTTTATAAACATTTGCACTGCAGTTCATTTTACATGGAATTGATACTTTTCTGTATTTGATTCTGAAAATGACCTCAGCAGAGACTTGAACCATATATATCAAGGCAATAAAAAAACTGTGCCAAAAAGTCCACAAAATACACCCGATATGCTAATGTTTAATGCATTTGTCACCGTTGTTTTAAATAAGTAAGAACATGCTTGGAGTAGTTATTTTATTCGGTTAGATTTCTGTAGACAAGATTGTAATTATTTATGAATTTTGTACAGAACTTAACTTTAAATTAGGTACACAATTATTTAATGTGAAGACTGACTGGAATGCAACCCTTAAACTGCTTTTAAATTTAGCAAAATAAGAATTTATGTATTTTTTTGTAAGCAAGATCGCAAGGAAATAAAAAATAATCGCTTTCAACTTCCAAAAAATGTGTGGACTGTTTTAATTCCTTCAAGAGAAATCAGGCAAATATTTCAAGCATCTTTTTCCTTGCCCACCAGCTTCTTTTTTACAAAAATAAATACAATTTGAACAGACTTACCTTTTTATATACGGTACTTCTATGGAACAGGACACACTCGGTTTGCCTCTCAGACAAAACTCAGGGCCCACCAAGCACGTCTCCTCACAGCTATTGAACTGTGTGATATGTTTCCTAACCTTTGAATGCACGTATAGATCTATGTATAAGTAGTTGAGGTGAGCCTCCGTGCACAGATGCATGCATTCAGAAACCCGTGCACGTGTGTTTGTGTGCACTCTCAGTCAGTCGGTCAGACGTGGATGGCTACTGGATGGCTCTAATGTCTCCTACTCCTATTTCATAAGAGTGTGTGGAAAACTCAGAGTCAGCACACTGGCATGAAAAAAGCCTCCGCTGGAAGCAGATCAGGTCACACATCTGCATGTCTGTGGAGACGGAAGGGCGGGCAGGAAAATACAGCGTGTGCCTGCGAATGTGTGCATGCATAGGATGAAGAGTTTAGTGAGCAATCAGGAGTCTGAGTCCAATGAATTGTATTGATTTAAAAAATTGATCTTTGTAGAATAAGCAGAATTTGCAGAATTCTAGCTTTTTTTTGCACGCACAGATTATCTAAAACACTAAATAACCTGAATGACACAAAATTATCTGTTAAACCAGGTTAGCACAAGCAATACGTTGACTTGAAGTACAAAAACAAGCCAGTACAATGAGTTTTTGATGGTTCAGACTAAAAACCCACATTAAATGTACAAACTCTGCACAACCTACATGTTATTTAGCCTAAATATAGATGTGTGCAGTAGCGCTAATTTTGTTCCAAAGCTGCTGTTTCTCTCTGCAAGACAAACGCAACCACCCCTGATGGGTAGGTGCACACAGGCGTTTGCTAAATCTAATGGTGTCCAGAGTGCTGCTGAGCTGTCAGAGGGTATAGAACATTGTTGTACTTTTGCTGGAGACTGAAACTGATGGAGCTAATGTCTCCTAAAACTCCTCACCTCATCTACTAAAATATCACATCAGCTGTCAGGTGAGGGTTTCTTTGTGTCCGCTGAGGTTATCAATCTTGGTTGAAATAACTAATAAATACAATTCAGCTGTGTTATGATCAAATTTAAGCAGAAATAATATTGCTAAATCTTCTTATCTGTTGAAATTTAAACTTTTCAAGTCCAGTGTCCCTTTTATGTCTTTTTCCTCTCTCTTGTGTTTTCCGTCCCTTTAGGTTTGTTATTTTTCTAACCATTCCCCTGTCGACTGTGTCTTGTACCACAATGGTTCTGTTTATCAGATTACCTTTATATATCTCCTTGGGGGGGGGGGGGGGGGTCTACTGATTAATCCCTGCTTGGCTAAGCGCTGCCCTGTCCTCCAGGTTTGCGGCTCCACAAACGATTCTCAGGTGGATTCAATCCCTTCAAGCGAGGAGTGGCGGGCGAGGCTCACGCGGGTCAATAGGCAGACCCTATTAATCAATGCCAGATACATGAGAATGGAAGGACAGAACAGAGCCCTGTTCTTCATCCAGATGGAGCAATAATTATTCATTCACACCTACGAGGACAACAAAGATATGAGCTGTTTGATTAAAGCAGTGTAGCTGGCGCTATTTAGTTTAGAACACCCAGAGTTTAAACGTTTCCATGGCAACGCCAGAGGTCTGCTTCAGCTCCTGTTTCTCGACATATTTTGTTAAAGTTTTCATCATTTATGTGTCGTTCTCATGTTCTGTTCCAGAGTCTGGATGGTTTAGAGCAGTGGTCCTCAATAGGCGGCCCATGGGCCATGTGCGGCCCGCGGGCCGCCTCTTTGTGGCCCCCGAACCCCACACGCACACTGCGGTATTTTCAAAAGGATGGCGGATCAGAAGCTGGCAGCGACTTCGGGAGCAAAGTTCAAGTTTAAAAGTAAGTCAACAAATTAAAAATGTTTTTTTTTTTTATCCAAAGAAGTTATGTATGGTTGGTTAGTTGCTTATTAGTTGCAGCTTCGGTGGCTAGCGGGTAGTTACTCGCTTACAAATTTAATTTAACAAATATATGCACAATTTAAGAAGTAAAAAGCTTGTTATGTATTTATATTGAAACTAATACGTATAAAATATAGTGTAATCTCCCGTGTCACGTGACGTTACGTGACCGCCGTGGAAGCTGCGGTCACATGATGCAAGTCTGTTCCATTTAACCTTTGACCAAGGAAGGACAGTGTCCTCGTAAGCAAGGCGCCTGGCCTCGCTAGACATCGTCTCACAAGGCCAGGCGCCTTGACATTGAGTAACACCCCCGGTTTGTTCCCCAGCATGTGTTACCATGGTGAATGGGAGGGGTTTCAGGTTAGCCATGTTCATAAAACTGATTAAGGAGCCGTTAAACCGGGATTCTGAACAGAAAGCCAGGTTTTGGGAAAATCTCACTTTCTGGAACACCCCCTTGGTGTTCTTGATGTGTTTGGTTTCCTTTAATAATCAGGTTCTGTTATCTTTCTCCTTTGGCTGCTTCACCCTACTCCTCAGTTAATTAGTCACACCTGCTCATCGTTTATCAGCAATCATCTCACCTGTTCCCCACATCATTCCCTTCACCTACCAGTTGCATTTATACCCATTTCTGCTCATCTGTTCTTGTTTGCTTCTCTGTTGTAGTTTAATCTTTCTCTGCTCTGTATAGTTTAGTTCCTGTTATTTGCCGTCTGCTCCTGACCTCATTTAGTTATTTAATGAATATTTAGCCTTCTGCATCTGGCTGCCTCCTGAGGCTTCTCTCACCTTCATTTTGGACCTTATGTCAGTATAGAAACTTTTCTAGTGTGAATTTACTAAGACCCTCTATGTGGATCCCCTATAATATAAGAAGGATATTTACTAGTAAGTTGCACAATAACAAAGTCATTGATGGATAATAAATATTAAAAGAAATGCAGAGTAATAGCTTAATTTTAGCCATGGCTGGAATCCAGTTTCTTGCATGTGATTGCTTCCATTTGAGAGAAAATCAGTTGTGTGATTCTAAGTTAAGCAATCCTGGTTGCATTTTTCTGTGAAGTGTCTCTGCAAAGAATCAGATATTTCTCAGTTTTATTCCGCTGCTTTTCGTGCTTCAGATTTAGTCAAATTGAGTTAAACTTGATGGAAATGATTTGTTTGCGTCGATAAGTTGTGCAAAAATAATCTATTATCCCACGTTCTGTGATGCACAGCAAATTAAGTATAATTAAACTCTTACGGCAAAAATTCATTTTTTTTGTGTCCGTTATAAATAATTTCAGCTCAATACAGTCAAATATTTGCACTTTCTGTATAGGGATTAATTATTTAATAAAGCAAATGCAGAAAGTACATCCATCCAACCAGCTCATGAGTCTCTTGCAAACAAACTCCAGCTGCAGCAGAAGTTTTTTCACACAAAAACAGAGTTTTCCAGATATAACCAAGCCTGGTTTCACCAACAAAGTGCATTCGTCAAGCCATGCGTATAAAGAAGCGGATGATATATTTTGAAATGAGCTCTAAGTGTAAAAAAAATGTGGCGATTTTTTCCCCCGGAGCTTCGAGTCGTGCGTAAGCGACCCGGAACGTGGAGGTTCGGGTCCTTAACCGTTTCACTCTTTAAAAACACGACTTCACTTACTTCTTGCGAAGTTTCGAGTTGAAAAGAAAACGGCAATAACAGCTCGGTTGGACTTTTTCACAAGTTGGTCATCTGATGGTCAGCAGCAGCGCCAGCACCGACAGCCACGGTCCCGCTCCGCTGTGCGTGTCTTCAGCCTGCTCGGACCGTGAGAGACCTCGAGGTTTTCTCATCACCCAGCCCGTAGACGGCCTTTTTTTTATTCTCTTACTTGCAGCTCATCATTTAGCCCCTTTGAGGGGAGATAACGCGCGCTACGTCGCAGGGGCAAAGTATGTGGGGGTGTCTCACGGCAGCGAGGCGCCCTCCTCTGCCGACAGTCCGACTCTGTTGCGCTGTGAGAGGAGCACAGAGGGGACAGTCAAGCCTCCAAAATACCCCCACCCACCCCCCACCCCCACCCCACTGGAAAGGGACAACATTTGGAAAAAGTAGTTTGAAGAGTGGGAATAATTTAGGATGAATAATTTAACTTGGTTCATGTGGCTTCAGTTAATTTTATAGCTCTCCCAATAAGCTGAATTATGGTGTTCCACAGGGCTTGGCCCTGGAGCTCTTGTTGTTTCCCCCAAAGAAGCAGAATTAGGGTGTTCCACAGGGCTTCGTCCTAGAGCTCTTGTTGTTTTACTTAAGGAAGTAGAATGATGGTGTTCCATAGAGCTTGGCCCTGGAGCTCTTGTTTCTCTCAAGGAAGCTGAACTATGCTGTTCCACAGGGCTTCAACCCTGGAGCTCTTGTTTCTCTCAAGAAAGCTGAATTATAGTGTTCCACAGAGCTTGGCCCTGGAGCTCTTGTTGTTTCCCCCAAAGAAGCAGAATTAGGGTGTTCCACAGGGCTTGGTCCTGGAGCGCTTGTTGTTTCTCTCAAGGAAGCTGAACTATGCTGTTCCACAGGGCTTCACCCTGGAGCTCTTGTTTCTCTCAAGAAAGCTGAATTATGGTGTTCCACAGGGCTTGGTCCTGGAGCGCTTGTTGTTTCCCCCAAAGAAGCAGAATTATGGTGTTCCACGGGGCTTGGTCCTGGAGCTCTTGTTGTTTTTCTCAAGGAAGTAGAATTATGGTGTTCCACAGAGCTTGGCCCTGGAGCTCTTGTTGTTTCCCCCAAAGAAGCAGAATGATGGTGTTCCACGGGGCTTGGTCCTGGAGCTCTTGTTGTTTTTCTCAAGGAAGTAGAATTATGGTGTTCCACAGGGATTGGTCCTGGAGCTCTTGTTTCTCCCAAGGAAGCTGAATTATGGTGTTCCACAGGGCTTAGCCCTGGAGCCCTTGTTGTTTCATATGCTGCCTCTTTTGCACATTTTAAAATGTCGCCTACCTCTGTTATGCAGATAATAATTAAATGTTTGATTTTATTTATTCTAAAGGGATAGCACATATTAACGAGGATATTTAAAGTGACAGTGTGTAGTTTCCCTGGCGATGGGGGGGGCATACATACCTAAGTAAATGCAAGCAAGTATTACTTTTGTGTTCAAGTAACACCTTACCAATGGATGTCCATTAGGGTAAAAAATCCCTGGAAGCGCAACCTCCAGCAAAATAACAAGAACATCAGGTTCCCTTTCATCACTGGCAATGAGTGAAGTGGTAAATATGTAAAATAACGTTTATTAATGGTGAAAGTTTTACAAACATTTGTTACAAACCAGTAAATTTATTTTGTCCTCACGGGCTTCTGTAGAAGGAAATATGGCATCCAATATGGTGTCGCTCGGAGACACAGGGTGTGTCCGAATCCACGGGAAGGATGCTTGTAAGAGTGCGATGACGTCACAGCGCAGCGACGAGTACTGTCCGAATTCCAAGAATACTCATTCTCGCGTCCTCAAATGCGGCCTCGCTCCGCTCACATTTCGAGGACGGGTCTGTTGTATCCTCACAGAACAAGGCTATCCCAGCATGCTTTGCACGCCGGCTGTGGATTTTCAGCAGGAAGACAAAATGGTGAGAGCTACGAAGTTTTAAACGTAAGTTTGTTAAAAATTAGCCGTAGAAACCTAAAAAGCTTAAAGCGGTTCAGTTTATAGACATTTTTCGTTTGTATATTTGTTTTTTTAAATTACATTTTAGGCAGAAATCAGCCAGAACGAGTTTGTATTGCGGGTCCCAGTTATTCCCGTGTGTGTGTGTGTGTGTGTGTGTGTGTGTGTGTGTGTGTGTGTGTGTGTGGCTCCCAAGTGGCTCCTCAGATTTTCTGTTGCGTAGAGTACATTTATAACCAAAATAATGCTAAACTATGTGTAAAATAATTTACTAATGTAAAAAAAGCAATATATCAAATATTTATCATTTCTATGGATTTAATAACTGAACACTTTAAGAAATCTCCACTTTCCGACTGCTGGCGCTCATTTTCTCACCGTCTTCGTCGCACTCTCCTCTCTCTCGCTCGCCTTTTTCCTCCTCCTCATTCCCTCTCGTCTCCCTCCGCCCGCATGTGCTCTGCTGTGTGTCTGAGTCTGATCCTCCCTCTTCCCCGCCCCTACTGCTCTGTGTGTGGACAGTCTGGACACACAGTTACACATGTTGACCAATCGCCTGTAGCTTTCACCAAGGCGGGGGGGAGGGGGGAGGGGACGGCTCCCAATGACAAGCCGGCTCCCGTCGTTCACTTCAAAGAGCCGGCTCTTAGAGCCGGTTCGTTCGCGACCGACACATCACTAATTTGAACACATTTATTAAAACAAATACTAACTGATAACTCTTTCTGGTCATTGATTTTATCACCAATTTTATTAGATGTTTTTTGAACATGTTACATGAACAGAAAATGAAAAGATGGTAAGGAGACAAGATTATTTATAATACGTTTAACTTATTTACAGATCAAAACCAGTATGGACCAGTTATGTACGGTTAAAGCAGAATTAACCTGAGTGACTCTTCCTGGATCATTTATTTAAACTGAGTGAGCAGGAAGTCTTTAACAGTGCAGCTGGATCTGCTGCAGGAAGATCCAGACGTGGATGGAGGGCTGGAGCAGACCCGTGGCTGGACGTTTCTGGTCAGAGGAACATCATACAGGACGGTCTGCAGAGAGAGCTTTGGGACGCTTCCTCTCACTGTCCACTCCATCATCCATCTACAGGGCCTGCTGGGCTGGCTCAGACGACGCCTGTTACATCTCTGTGAATGACTTGCCTGTTAACAGCAGTGGTGGTCTGCTGGTACCTCCTCCAGGACAGAGCACCACTGACCTCCTCCACACACATCTTCCTCACGCTCATCCTGCAGACCCACAACTTCACCAGCACAGAGGCAGATGTGCAGCACAGTGCATGCTGACCTGTAATAGATTAAGCTTTTTTAATAGAAAAATGTAAAACAAACATAACCTGCAGTACACTGGTTCTGTTCAGTTTAAAGAAAAGCAGCAGGGAAAACTACAGAGAATTTACATTTTTAAGACAGATCTGATCATTATTAGGCTTAAGTTGAATAAAAAAATGCACACTGAAAACAATTCAATGCTATTTTATTTAAAAGCCTGTTTTTAAAGCATTTTACCCCCATTTGATGCAAAATAAGTTCTAAGGTCCAATATACATTAGAAAACATCCTACTGCATTCAACATTTATAATGCATTTGGTTTATATTAATAATACTCTGTAGAAATGTGTATGTTTAACAAGTTCATTCTGTAGCTTAAAACATACATGAAACCATCTAAAGTTAACAAGTAAGTCCTGAAAGCTTCTAGAATAAACAAAATTACTTTAGCTGAAAACGGTTGTGAACAAACGCTGCTGATGGACGTGAAGCTGCTGTAGCTCCTTAATATTCCTGCTCCATTTTCGCTATCTTTAGCATTTTTCCTTTGCGCGTAGCTGCCGCCACGGCTGTGACGGGACCTACGGGCCACCGTAGAGGTGAGGGCTAGACTGTCCGAATTCAGAGCCGCTGAGTTTTGGTTTTAGCGGTCTTCAAGGACCCGGCCTTGCTAGACCGGCAAGGACCCGTACTCGTAAGCATCCTTCCCGTGGATTCGGACACACCCTTAGACCCGCTCCCATGTATTTTAGAACAGCTTTCTATGCTTATATATTATGAAACTGCCAATATTTTTCATCAACTGGGCATCTCTTAATTAAACTACAACATCATTTTGATGGATATTTCCGGAGGGTAATGGTAAAAACTATACATTGTCACTTTAATACTAAATATGCTGGATTTAGCAAGAAGCTAGCTTTCATCTGTAGTCCCCTCGACACACATATACAGTACAACATGGATTAAATATAATATGACACAAAACAAAATTAAAGCAAGATCAACTAATTACACTAAATCAAGACTAAAAAACAAAACAGCCAACTAAAATTATTCTCGCAGTTGAAATGGACAAAAAAAATAAATTAAAAAAACTAACATGATCCATCATCTTAACCTTAAGGAATTAAAAATAGCTATTAAACTCAAGATAATTAATGACAGCACATTGACCAGCCATGCATTTAGACTGGAAAGAGGTGCTGTCTTTTATGGTGGTTGGTAGTTTATTCCACTCACTGCATCCCCTGATCGACAGTGTGTTCTGTGAGAATTTTGTTTTTTTAGAATTAATCACGCAGTCCCCTGTAATCGTCAACCTAGTCTCTTTTAAGCCTGCTGAAATCTCCAAACTGAACGTGCTATTAAACAGTTTTGGCTGTGTGAAAACCTGCATGATGAATTTTTTTTATTATCATTATTTTTACAACTGAAAGAGGATAAAACTGAAATCCTCTTTTGCTCACCTGAGAAGCTCAGCGCAGTTAGTGAGACACGAAGTCCATTAGCCTCTTATGTTAGGCCAACCATTAGGAGTGTTGAAGTCAGTTAACTGCTTGTTTACCTTGGATAACCATGTTTTCTCACACTTGCTTTGCTCATTTACGGAACAATGCAAAACTGCATAATTTTGTCTCCAAACCAGAATTGGAAGTTGTGGGCTTTTGTCTCCTCCAACCATGACTATTGTAACTCTTTGTTTTCCTGTCTGAATTCTGCCTCTCTGGACCATCTACAGGTTTTTTCAAAATGCTTTTTACACAAACTCCCAAGTTCTCTAATGCCATGCATCTAAAGGTGCCGTTTGTAAGAATATATATAGAATTCTACAGTGAGGAAATCCCAAAAGAGTCTAATGTTTCATTTTGGTAGGACTATTATCCTGAAACATATTTCATATCCAAATGGCTGTGGTAATTGTCAGTTTTTCTCCTTTCAAAACAAAGGAAAGAGGGACATAACTACTGTTTAACATCAGTGAGCGTGGGGTTGCCGTGTCTCCTGCGAGCTAATACTGCAGCACCGACAATTGTAATTTAAACGTAACTCCACCCCTAGTCAAGATTTGAAAAATGCTATGCAAGTGGGCATTGTCAGGAGGCACTGAGTGGCATGGCCAAGTGTGGGGAATTTCCGTTTCGGGAGGGAGGGGGAGTGGGAGGAGACTGTACCGATGGCCTGAAATTGTTCCAGCCCCAGTCAATCACAACTTTGAAATGCAGTAGCCACAGTTCTGCCATAGAGCTCCGGGAGTTGACTTCACTTCTCCTGGCATGCAACAGTTCAAATCGAAACGGCGCCATATTGGCAGGCAGAAGCCCGCAGCTGGGCTATTTTTTAATGTCAGAAAACTCAATCAAATGGGAAATATGGTAGATTCCTGTTGGGCCCCAGGATGCAGAACAGATGCGGACGACATACGGAATGAGCCATCTACAGGATTCCCCAAGATCCGGAACACCGCAAACGTTGGATCATTGTAATAAAACGCTCTAGTGACCGTGCTAAAATGAAACTGGGATCCCGAGAGTAAAGGTTTTCGCTTATGCAGCGACCGCTTCATATCAGGTACTTAAACCAACGTTTCCTCAACTGTGTGTGGTATTTATTTTAAATGCTTTTATTACGATTCTTAGCGGGCTTCCTAAACTTATTTTGGCGTGGCTTTTTCTGTCTTATTACTCACAGCAACAAGTAAACGTCACGTAAAACGTTGCCTCGTGAGTTCTGCGTGCTGCCGTTTACGTGTTTTATGATGACAGCAATTAACCGGCTAAGCTGTATTTAATTTTTAAGCAATGGTTGATCAATTGTCAGATCACACATAAAAAGCACTTTGGATTGCTATTATCTGTCTCACAGAGACGAATCTCAGACAGATCCTGAGACGCTCCTGCCTGACATTTTTATTTTATTCACGGAAAAAAATCAGACTAGTGATTTCTCTTGGCGTTCAGTTTATACATTTAAACAGCACAGCACTCTATTTAAACTACTTACGTGTAAATCTGTTATTTGTCCATCCATTTTCATCCGCGTATCCGGAGTCGGGTTGCGGGGGCAGTAGCGTCGAGAGGCCCAGACTTCCCTCTTCCCAGCCACCTGGGCCAGCTCTTCCGGGGAAATCCTAAGGCGTTCCCCGGCCAGGTCCGCTCCGACAGCTTCTGGCATTTTTAAAAAGTATCCCAGGGGCACGGTAAGGGTCGGAGATGTTTAATCTATTTAATGTCTGACTATGTCAAACGATTTTTTCAGTTTTAAAGTGTGAAGTAAACTCAGACGGAGTAAAATCCAAGCCGATCCCATTAAATTTGTGTACATTTGTTGCCTGCCAACATGGCGTCTACTCTCTGAGAGTCACGTGACGTCCGGAGCTCTATAGGAGGCAGCACTAAGACGTTTTTAGACCTAGATTCTCGATTATTTGATCAAGTTTACTTAAACATGTCAAAAAATGCACAGAAACAGAAAGATTACATTTGTAAAGACCCAGTTATAGTTTATAAGCAAGAAAAAGTTATTTGGGGGTTTAGTTACACTTTAGACGGCTGGGAAAAGCTCCAGAGTTGTTTAAAATGGTTGCAGTAACCAAATTTTACCACAGGATGTCATTTTTACTACACTTCTACATAATGCACCTTTAAGCTTCATTGGCTTCCCATCCAGAGCAAACTATGAAATCTTGCTTCTGACATATAGAGCCTTTAGCGATCAAGCCCTGAGGTACATTGCAGACCTCCTGACCCATTTTGTCCCGAAGAGGTTGTTGAGATTGGGAGACCAGGGCCTTTTGGTTGTATCTTGAACTACACTGAAAACTAAAAGCCAGTGTGCGTTCTTGTCAGTTGCTCCATGTCTCTGGAATGCCCTTCCAGCACCTCTGACGTCTGCAGACTTGGTGAATATGTTTAAAATACATCCCAAACTGCGTATTTTTAAAAATGGATTTTAAGTGATTGTTTTTACACTCATGCACAATATACTATTGTGTATGTTCATGTTTGTGACGTCTGTCTTGAGAGGTGCTTTATAAATAAAGTTTGACTCTTTTTCACTTTTAAATTCATTTTCTACCAGCCACTTAAGTCAGTTACATCCAAAAAAGCCTAAATTCTTTCAAATGTTTTCTTCAGTTTTAATCAGTTTAAACATTGGGAATTGCAGCTGGAACATAGTTTTATCTCGACAAACATTCCAAAGGATGACCCTATACCAGTCAGTTTGAATGCAAATAAACTTGACAGACTTTGAGGACTCACGTGGAGTGTCCAGTGGAGATGTGACGCTGTGAGAGGCTGTGTTCAATAAATTTCATACCCCTGAACCATCGGTCAGCACGGATGTCCTGCCCAAACACGTGAGGAATTTTTTTTTCACAAGGGAAAAGAGAAAAGACCAATTCTTGCAGCTGTTGTTGCTGGTTTGCACTTTTTTGTGTGTGCATAAATGACATTTATCTCCAAGCCTGTGGTTGTTTTTCTTGTCAAATCAGACTTCCAGTCAATCTTTTCAGAACAGATTTATCAGTTTGAACAAAAGAATTGATGTTTCTGTGGAAGCTAAAGCAACTGAGGTAGTCTATAACTTTTCAGAGTTGTCTTTTGATCTCTCATCCCTTTGCCCCCTCCCAGCAGCACTGACATAATTTGTGATGTGGGAAGACATTCAAATGGCCTATCTGCACCGAGAGCTCCGTATTCCTGCCTGTCGCCTTCTCATTTACAAGGTCCACAAGTTACGACTTGGATTTTTCAATTTGCGCATCTGCAGTAGAAGTCTGAAAGAAAGAAAGTAAATGAGACAGCAGCACTACTCTCTCAAACAGCATAAATCCTGTAAGCTATAAAGGGAAAAGCTGAAACTTAAATGCATTTTTGAGATTTGCGCGATCATTCAACAATGCTCACTTCATTTTGTTTGACTTTCAACTTGATCATAATAAATGTACAGCAGAGAAACACCGTAAATGGCTGCAGGAGCTTGTTTATTAGTGAGTTATGTGACAAACAGCTCTGGTTTCAGCAGCACGGGGGCCCAGAGAAGCAGTTCCCTGAATCATGTGGACTTATGTTATTGAATGTGACAAGAGAACAATGCACCTGACTTATAGACTGATGCCGCTGCGAGTTCTCTGAAAGGTTCGGAGCTGGGTTCACTCCCCTATTCGGTGAAGCTGCTGCATCAACGGGTTGTAAGTTATAAATTTCACCTCAGATCTATTTGTTTTTACATATAAACTTTGGAAATGATTCATTTTTAAATGTTTTTTGTTTTGTGTGTGTGTGTGACCTGACCGCGATGCAGCAGACAACACAAATCGCAGCCCTATTATTGCTTTTCGGCCAAATGCATGCTTTTTCTGCAGCAATGTAATTTGTGCCTGGTTGTCTGCGTCTGTTTCTGTATAACAAAAGAGTGTCCTTTTTCTCAACCCCATCAAGTCACCTGTAATGCATTTAGTACAGTTTCACATTGCAGTGTGACAATTTACATCTGTGTCAAGCTCTTGCTCCCTATTTGATTAGGTGAAAAGGGCAGAGAAGGCGCCACACACACACACACACACACACACACACACACACACGCACGCACGCACACACACACACACACACACACACACACACACAAACAGCAAAAATAAAGATGGATCGTGTGCTTCATGTTCCATATCTTCTTTATTACAAAGCTGCTGACAGGCTCAAAGTGATAAACAAATAATTCACTATACGTCTGAACTCTAATCCAATATTACAGGCCCTTAACCTGCCATATATCTGTCAGCGGGGAGCCGGTGGGGCAGACATGGTGAAGTGGGGAGGAAATTGAAGTGGATTGATAAGATTTCACGGGATGAATAGAATCTACAGAGTATCAGCATGAAAGCCCCGCCATGTGCAAAACAACCCAATTAAGAGGAGCGCTTATCTCAATCAGTGAATGCATCATGCAAATAATGTTTTTTTTTTCTAGACCCACTTTAATTCTCAACTGTTACCGTAGAATACCAATCAGCGACTTAACTCTAATGGAAGGAGGAGAAAAGAGACGAAGGACGTGTGGAACACGGAGGTGGTTTTGTGAAAAACAGAAGTTGTAGAGATCGTGCTCTGGCTAGGTTTATCGAGGTAATGACTGTTTTTTTTTGTAAAGCTGTTTGATAATTTTTTATTTAATAATGTAAGTGCAACACAAATTCCACTTTTACTGCTATGTTAAAATCTAATAAATCAATAAATTTAATGTTTTAATGGAAATAAATCAAACTCCCATTGAGTTGGCTGGCCACAAACCATTGTATTTGTGAGAGATGCCAACCCACATCCTAAACTAGGACTTCCAATGACAGGGGAGTGACCAGAGACAAGTATATGGTGCTTTTGTGGGGTTCTCATTAAAAATCCACCCTTTGCATATCTTCTCTGTCAACGAAAGCAGCTAAATGTCCAGTTTGTGGTTTTAGAACAGCACAATGTGTAATTTTAGGCTTTTCTGTAAAACTGTCCTGTATTGGAGACAGAGGCACTTTCTGAGTTGGATATTTCAAATAAAAATAAATAATGCATTAACTAGACTGATGGTGTAGGTGAACTTAAGGCACAGGATGTCCTGATGGGCTTGAATATTGTTTATTAGAGTCTCGGTGGACATGGATGTCTTTCCACAAACGGCTGGTGGTTTGACAGTTGAGTAAACACATCCCACCCCTTGTATTTTTTATTCAACCTTTTCAAAGCACCATTTTCAAGACTTACTTCCACCCATCTAACAAGGACTAATGTGGAAGCGTGGGTAGTTTGGAAAAACATCTAAATAGGCAGAGAATACAAAAATCGGAGGCAATTAATTCACACTGATGGATCATGATCAGTTTGTGGTAAAACACAGAATCTGTTGACTCAGCATCCATAATATTTCTAAAACTGTCCATCTTGAGTCTGCGTACATCCAAAAAACATCTGTAAGTTGTCCTGGGTCCGTGAAATTGGGGTTCTTCTTCGAAACATCCAGTCCAAGGGGCCCCTTGTGACTGTGGTGGAAGAGAAGAGACAGCTGGAGCCCTGGTACTCATTCACCAGTCTGAAACGTGTCCTGAACCCCTCCCCCACTAAACCCCCACCGTCGTGTGAGGACGTGCACTCACGGCTCACAGCCTGGAAGTTGAGTAAACAGACCTTGGATATAAGTGAGAACCAGAGGTGGATCGCACTGTCCTGGCAATGAACCTATTTTTAGAAAACCCATTTTAGCTCATGTTTTCTTAAACGGGGACACATTACAACTTTTTGTTTCAGTCATAATAATTCCAAGGTGTATGCTGAATATGTTGATGAAGTTCTTTGCACAAAATTCCTCACATAAAACAACTTCTGCATGTTTATTTATGACAGTACCTTCCACAAGGAGCCATTTCAGGACACTGTCACTTTAATAAAACACGCTGGAGCTAGCCACGCCCACCTAACATCACGTGATCACATGGGTCTACATGGTGGACACCAACAGGCGTATTGAATGGAGGGCAAAAACAGCAATAGTGTTTGCTGCAAATCAAACAAGTCCTTTTGATTGCCAGCTGCTGTCCATCCCTGTCTTCTGTCTCCGTCAAAGTTATTTAAAACAAAGAAAGGTTGGGTTTGCCACTGTCGGTTAGTGCAGCCAACCAGTTTACATAGCATACCATTTAACTGTGAAATCAACAAAATAAAAGCCACACACACACACACACACACACGGTGCCAAAGCTAAACATCATTAGTAACTGTGTTGAGGACTAAAACCAAGACATCCTGTTTACAATGCGCTCATTGAAGTCAGCCTCTGTTACAAACACACAAATTACATCCAGAGGCAAACACTTAAAAGCTTTATCACAAAAAAATAACCTGAAAAAAAAAACAATTTCCACTCCACCACATCTCAGGTTAATACACTCAAATGGTACCAGTCGTGGATTTTAATCTAAAACTGTGTGTATTAAAAAAATGACTGAGACTAAAGAACATTTTGATTGGGGTGGGGGGTGGGGGGGGGGGGCTCAGTCAGGACGAACATTTGCCGGCAATTTGTGGTTTCCAAGGTGACTAGACAAAAAGAGCGTCAGAGATCATATTATCTTGTCATACCTCACATGATGTCCAAATGATCCAATTGTTGCCATTACCTTGCCTGAACACCACAGTTGAAGGATGAAATGACACAAATGGACATTTTTAAGAGAAAAAACATCACATTTAAGCAGACTAAGGAAGCAGCGTGACAATTTAGGTGCTGCAGTTGCGCTGGAATTTCATGTTATTTTGGAAAACCAGCAGATATAAATAAGACATGTTTTGTTATTTTGAGGCAGTATGATGAGTACAGATGATCGCCTTTCTCTGAGTGCATTTGTCTTGTTTTTTTTTAATACTGTTTATAATCCCACAACCTTCACCTCATTATTATTAAACATATAAGAAAATAAAAGGACGTTTGCAGACAAAACAACAAAAAGCACAAGTGTTTTTAACGACAGAGGTTGCAGTATATGTGTCCTAGAAGCCAAGCATGGCTGCATCTACTTATGATTTTTATCTCAGTATCCTGGCGTCCAGGAGGATCTCGAGGTAACGGGATAAATAACTAATCTCAGGGATAAGGCCGTTAAAAAACAGGTAAATTCCTTGTGCATGCACTTTTTGGATGTGCACTCATTTTTCAGGTTAGAACAAGAATCCTGAAAGGAAGCAACAAAATTGAACCCTTACATTGCATGAAAGCATTTTTTTGTGCCGACATGTGGATTTTTGTGAATAACTTTGGCTATGTTAACGCAACTTATCTAATATTTATGGAGGTTGTGTATTTTGGAAGGAATTACAAAAAAAAGTTTGAAAAAATATTCAACTCTCTTGATTATAACGTGGAAAACTTTGTACAGTTAAGCATCTTTCAGCATTTTTTGTGCCATTGCTTTTAAACCTGTAAACACATCGGGTCTGACATCTGACTGCAGTAAACACAAAGTACGGCAGGGATGTTTGTCGTGATGCCAGGAGTTTGGGAACTATCTTCCATAAAGTTTGACACCAGAACATCTCAGCAGCCAGGCAATCCCCTCCATAAAGCCCGACAGAGATTCTGCCACCGTATCCTGCACCTGATCATAAAAACAAGAAACGTGGGTTAAAAATGACGCACTTCAGGATCCTCTCGGCTAGATAAAGGCCTAGTCCACACGTAGCCGGGGTTTTTCAAAAACAAATATCCACCCCTCCAAAAACTTGCATCCACACCACCGCGTTTTAATAAATAACTCTGTCCACACGTACCCGGATAAATACGTTGTTAAGGACATGCCAGACCTGTAGGCGGCAGTACTTCCCCCGTTCTTAACCTCGTCCTTCATCTGTGGTCTTCCGCAAGGAGCAGTAATTCCGCTTGCAAAAACAAACAAGCAAAAAGCGCTTGGACAATTGATAAAGCGAGCGCAGCTTTGAGGGCATCCGTGCTGTCGGCTAGTGTAAACACAGGTCGCACACGTGAGGTCAGCATTTTTTGTCGCGGAAAGTGACGTTGCGGACCTTAAAACTCCGGTTTTGTCCGTCCACACGCAGACACCCAAAACGGAGAAAACGCAGATCTTCACTTTGGCCGGAGTTTTTAAAAAGATCCGTTTTCGCGTGAAAAAACTCCGTTTTCGTGTGGATGACAGGCCAAAACGTAGAAAAATATCTACGTTTTGGCAGATCCCCAGCTACGTGTGGACAGGGCCAAAGATTAAGCAATTACCATCCAACGATTAGACAGCTGGGAAAGACCGAGTCTCTGAGCCATGTAAACACACGGAGTTCGACTTCTGGCTGTACTCGTTTCTTCTTCCTGTTCTCTGGAGACACAGGAGAGCACCAGCAGAGACTTGGATGAGGTGTTTTCAGCACAGTTCAGCATGGCTTTAATCTGGGCCATCTCGGTCTTCTCGTCACCTGCTAAACAAATGAGCAGTCGGTGCAGATTGATCCAAAAACCAGCATCTATTATGTGAAAAGGGAGCCACAAAGGAGAAGGAGGTGCGATTAGATCAAACATGTTCTCTCACCTTTGCCGGGCTCCGCATTAGTGACATAAATGAAACCATCCACCACTTGGCACACCTGCTGGACCTGAGGAGCCGGGCTGTACACGGGGCAGCCCGAGTTATCGCTTCCTACAAAGCTGAAGAGCTTATTACTGCTGCTCTGCTGCTCCAGTCGGGCTCTTTCTCTCTCTGCCCTGCAGATGCAAAATAAATAAATAAACGAATAAACAAATTTAAGTCATCAACACTGATGTGCAGGGGTAAAAAAAAAAAAAAAGTCAAACGGTGACAATGGAGATAAAGTGCATACCTGTTGGTTGAGTATAGAGTTAGGATGTTAAATTTGTGTTGATTGTTGAACAGGAAGCTGATCCCTGAGCCAATGCCTAAAAAAACAAGTGAAAATGTTTTGTTAATTATCCATCCATCCATTTTCTTCTGCTTATCCGGAGTCGGGTCGCAGGGGCAGTAGCCTAAGTTGAGAGGTCCAGACTTCCCTCTCCTCAGCCACTTGGGCCAGCTCCTCCAGGAGAAGCCCAAAGTGTTCCCGGGCCAGCTGTGAGACATAATCCCTCAAATATGTCCTGGGTCTTCCTTCAGGCCTCGTCCCAGTTGGACGTGCCCGGAAAACCTCACCAGGGAGGCGTCCAGGAGGCATCCTAATCAGATGGCCGAGCCACCTCAGCTGGCTCCTTTTGACGTGGAGGAGCAGCGGATCTACTCCGAGCCCCTCCCGGATGACTGAGCTTCTCACCCTATCTCTAAGGGAGAGCCCAGCCACCCTGCGGAGATTTTGGCCACTTGTAGCCGCAGTCTTGTTCTTTCGGTCACTACCCAAAGCTCATGACCACAGGTGAGGGTAGGACCGTAGACCGACCGGTAAATCGAGAGTACAACACCCGCATCACTGCAGACGCAGCACCGATCCGCCTATCAACCTCATGCTAAATTATCCCAGAGTACCCCCCACAGGGCCCCTCAAGTTACATGGTTGAACGCCTTCTCCAAATCCACGAAACACATGTAGATTCTTTGGACGAGCTCCCACGCACCCTCCAGGACCCCCCTAAGGGTACAGAGCTGGTCCAGTGTTCCAAGACCAGGACGAAAACCACATTGTTTCTCCTGACTCCCCTGTAGCTGAAACACCCTGTGGCCCCCCTTTTTAACTAAGGGAACCACCACCCCTTTCTGCCAGTCCAATGGAACTCCCCCCCCCCCCCGATGTCCACGCGATATTGTAGAGCCGCGTCAGCAAACACAACCCTACAACATCTAATCCATAAGGAACTGTGGGCGGATCTCATCCACCCCCGGAGCCTTGCCACAGAGGAGCTTTTTGACAACCTCGGTGAACTCGGGTCCAGAGATTGGAAAGTCAAACTCAAAGTCCCCGAACTCGGCTTCCTCACTGGAAGACGTGCCAGTGGGATTGAGGAGGTCTTCGAAGGTTTCTGCCCTCAATGTCCCGAGTAGAGGTAACTTAAAATAAAAAATATATGAAATAAATAACAAAAACATGAAAAAATAAATAAAAAATAAGAAAACAGACTAAAATAAATAAATGAATACAAATTTTCATTAATAAATATAAAAACAAAAAAAGCTATTTTGACTGAAAATGACAAATGGGAGAATACTGCCACCAAGTGATAGAAAACTGTAACAACAAGTAACACGAATCCAAATGACTTGTTTCTGAAATCTAAGAGCTCTAATACACTACCTTATCCCAGATTAACGTTTGCATACAAAACAACAGAGGAGTGACCAAGTCACTGCTTTGCAAGTCACAAGTCTTTCCAGTCATGTCTCAAGTCAGGTCAAAGTCAAAGACAACCAAGTCCAAGTCGAGTCCAAAGTCAATGATGTGGATGTCCAAGTCAAGTCCAAGTCCATAACTTTGAAATTTTAAGTCATAATCTAGTCATCTGTCCAACTTCTATTTAGTGACAATGATAATAAACTAATGCCAGAAATAAAAGCTTCTGAAAGCTTCGTTTATTTGCTCAAACAAGCAGAAAACGCAACTGAAGCGGATCATAAACAAAGTGCTGCTGCATTTAGCAGAACAAGATCAAACCCACGGTTTTTGTCCACGTTGTGCCACTTTTGTGCTAAAATATCAAATATGCTCAAGTCATCATCAAGTCAACAGATGCAAGTCGATTCAAGTCGCAAGTCATAGTCGTTCAAGTCCAAGTCAAGTCATAAGGCTTTATAGATTCTATCAAGTCAAGTCGGATGTCATTAAAAATAATGACTCGAGTCTGTCTCCAGTCCAAGTCATGCGACTTGAGTCCACACCTCTGCAAAACAAACTGGCAAATCTGGAGCAAATAAAAAAGTCTTAACTACTGTGACAGGTCATGTTTAAATTCTGCGTTTATAACTACAAAACACCAAGAATATACGGTGTTTTCTCACCATTTATCTGTCTGTGTGGCGTGCTGGACACAGGCAGCAGGTCTGGGGCGTGCATGAGCCTCGTTACCAACGGGACGTCCAGCTGCTCCATACCAGGACCAAACATGGCGTAACGAGGCTCAGAAGAAGGCACCAGATAATGAAGGAAAGAGGTCACAAGCTTGTATGCTGGTCGCGATGGCAACCACTTCTGTCTGCAGGACGGGCAGCCTTTCAGGTACCTGTTGATCCAAAACAGCCGCTCACTAACCTTTGCAGCAAACTAAGCAAGGAAAGAGAAAAACACACTCACTCTGACATGTAGTCAAATTTAAACTCTCGATCTTTCTCAGTCCCTTCCTCTCTGTCATCCAAGCTCTCATCTTCACTGACCAGTGGGGCATCCAGCAGCTCCAGGTCAGGCATGCTCAGATGATCAATGGAGGACCACTGCAGCATGTCACGCAACAGAAAGTATCTCCACAACAGTGGATCTCTCACCATGGCCCTCCAGTACTGACTGGTGGCTCCCAGTTTACAGATATCCACAGGAGACAAGAAGGTCATGATCAGGAATTGTAAATCCACCTTTGGGAAGAAATACGTGTTTTAATTATTTTCTTTTTATAATCAAGATGGATCCCAACTTGGATGTTGGATCACTGTCGCCGATAATAGTTCCTCATTTGGATAATTGGTTTTTAAATTTGATGGGTAAAAAGTCTGGTAAAATAAGATGTTCTAAAGTTGTAAACAGAACATGACAGTTATATAAGTTCTGTTGAGATTTGTGAGAATTCCTTAAAGAGCAAGTCACCCTCAAATCAACTTTTTTTGCTGATAAACTATATAAATGAGTGTCTAATTGCTCTGTAGACACGTTCAGTCAATAATTTGGCACTTTAGTTAATCTTAGTTAAAATTTAAATAATCTGCCTAAAACTGTCAGCGATGCACCGTCGTCAGGCTAAAATTCTGCACTGCATTTGAATTTAAATCTGCCATCGCTATTGGCTAATAGGTACATTATGATGTTAGGTGGTACATTATGATGTCACAATGCCATGCGTGCATGAGTATTTGTTAGTGGCTCCACTCTCTCGGTCTGCCAGGCAACAGCATTTGTTGTATTTTTCAAACAGGAAGTGGGAGTTGAGTAAGAATCTGGCAGGGGGTGACTTGCTCTTTAAGGAAAAGGAAAATAAGAAATCAGATTACATGTGAAGCATTCTCTGAGGAGAAATGTGTCAACAGACTGTAAACTGTTTTATTTGACATTTATGAACTTATTCCATAAAGTTTCAGGCAAAAACAAAACAACAGGGGGCAACAGGCATCAGCTGAGAGTTACAACAAAAGACATAGAAATAATTAAATCTGCTCATTATTTTTGACCAAACCCTGTAATTCTAAACTTTGGGTGAAAATTTGGTTAGATCACATATGACAACTGGGAATGATTTTAAATGTCATATAACATTAATGATGGGCTGAAAAGTTGTTTTTAAATGCACCAAAAACACTTTTTTTTTTGCATTTTTATTGTCCAGGTGTATTCAAATTCATATTGAATCACGAAGTCTTTCTAAAGGAAGTTTGATATTAAATAAAATAGTTCAGATGTTTTTAAAGAAGTACAGATTTAAGTTTTAAAAGCAACATTTCTGAAAATCATTTAATTGGTGAACAATTATGATAAACATTGTTAGATATTTTACTAATAACTGAAAGGTCTTGTTGCAGTAACTAGTGTCAGTGACCAGTGGAACTCTTAATAACGCAAATGTACACACCAGACCACTTAAAACGCGTGTTTTTATACTTCCCATGTTTTCCTACTTGAAGAGTGATGTAAACATATAAAATCCTCCTGACTGACTCCTATTTGCCTTACCGGTAAACTGTCCAAATACTCCAGCTGCGGTTCGTCTCGTTCTGCATCAACATCTGGAATCAGATCCGTTTTATGAACTCGATCTGAAAAGTATCGGTCTCTGAACCTTCGGAAGCTGCGGATGACTATCGCCTCCAGCTGCTGGATCTTTTCAGCCATGGTCTGTGAGACAAAAACACTTCCAGCCGTCTGGAAAACAAACGCTTCCTGGTCTCTGTTAGACTTCCTCATCAGTGGCAGTTCGGGAGCATTGTGGGTAATGTAGTTCAACAACAATGGATCAGTGCAAATGATAAGAGGAATGAATAAAAGGCATGTGAGGTTATTTTACTTAAAACAAAGCATGTATTTATTATCAACTGGGACATAAAAAACAAACAAAAAAGTATTTCCCCCCAAACAAGTTCCTCAATTGTTACACTAATTTAATTCAAGCAAAGTAGAAGAAAAAACAAAACAAGTTTTAAAACATTTAAAAGCAGTCATGTGGTCGTCAGATTTTCTTCATTTTTTTCTACCGTGTTTAGATCGTAAACACCCTGTTATATATTAAAATGTAACAAAATGGCAACAAAACAATAAATATAATGTTATTGTGCAATGTCTGACATCCTGCTGGATTCTCTTAAACTTGTAAAAATCAAAAATTAAAGATGGTCATTCATTTTTTAAATAATATCCTCTGAATAGTAATATTAATGTTATTATAACACATTCTTAGAACAAAACGAGCGCCCCAGGCAACGGTCTGGAATCAGAAGGATAACTGCTTCATCAGCAGAACAGTTAATGAGCAGCCTAACATTTAGCTTTTATTTCACACCTACATTCTTATCCCCATGCTAACCTCTCATTCTGCTTTGTCTGCTGCCTTTCATCAAAGGGTTTAGTTTCCTTCAGACACTCACACACAGACACCTTTCTCCACTTCCACTTGCTGCCTGTGCCTCTCCTTCACAACCCCCTTATGAAGGGTTTCTTTTATAAATGGGATTGACACATTTGAATACTGAATTTAGCTCTGTGCCCGAGGGCAGCTTCAACAGACGAGCAGTTTGTTTTACTGTAAAATACTAAGGATTTCCTTGGCATTTTCTGTGTTCCAGCCCTGGCCCTGCAGGGGGCCTTCACAGGCATGGACATATTTGTTTAGAATCTGTGTACCAATGTCCCGAAACTGCAGGCAATCTTCTTTGGGGTCTGAAGTGCCAGAAGCGCAGTCCTCGTACTTGACAGCCCAGAAACACATTTCCCCGATGTACATCATCGTCAGCAGGTGGGTGTCTGAGAAAATGCCTGTTGATAAACAGATGAGTGGGATAAAATAAAGACAGCATAAAGGTGCAAGAACCTGACATCCTGTGGTCAGATTTGGGTACTGCAGTCCAAGTATCAAAACAAACGAGTCCATTCTGAGCAACTGTTGCCAGCTGTTGATCATCACCAGCAGAATGTCGTACACAGTAAGTTGAGAAGAAGACAAATTAAGTTCACTGTAATATCGACTTGTTGGTAATTGTTGAAAAAGAAGATTGAGATTTTTTTTTGTAGCCAACAATTTTTTTAAATTCACTGTTAGCATTGTTAGCTCAATGTTACCCTCTAGCCTTCTTTACCCGACAGAATAAAACAAAAATCATGACAGTGTCGATTACAAATCCAGGAACCAAAAGAAAACTTCTTGGCCGCTCCTGTAACTGGCTTCCATTGTGTCCAAAATGCTACAGCTCTTTTCCCGCAAATGCTGATGCAGTGTTTGTGTTGAAGACTTGGCAACCGTGCAGGCTCACACATGATTGGCTCTAGAGCCAGGAAGTATGGAGACCGGACCGACTGTAAACAATGACAATAGTATGTTCTTGTTACCTTGACAAGTATGCTCTTGGCAAGGACACCAGGAAGTCTGTTCTATCGAGTATGGGAGGATGAGGACGGCATTTGGAACAGAACCGTACTCCGTTGCATCATGGCTGTGGTTACAAATACGACCCACAATGAAAATTAAATTCTAGTTCAGGGTTCCTCAACTAAATTCGTTCAAGAGCCAGAGTTTTTTCCAGCAGACACCATGAGGGCAAGATGCTCTTCTAAAATAAAGTTCAAGTATTATTGTATCTTAATGTATCAATAGTCAAAATGGCTTTGTTTTCCATCTAAACTGTTTTGATTGTATTTCTTAGGTGTGTTCTTGCTGTGTCGTGGTTCTAATTCCATGCTTTTCATTCTTTTTAAACAAAACTGTTTCTGTGTTTAAAAAGAACGAAAGCATGGAATTAGAACCACGACACAGCAAGAACACACCTAAGATGTTCAAAGAGAAATACGGACAACAAGGAACGAAGGACTTCCGCCGTTTGGAGCGATTACACCAGAAACGCGCACGTCTAAGAAACCACCTTCGCTTCTGTTTAAGATGCCGGGACGAAAACATCACACTACAAAACAGGTAAACAAAACTGTTTCTGTGTTTTGATTGTAGTTTTGGTTTTGTTTGGAGAACGTAAACAATTAATGATACTTGGGACATGAATTTTGTTGCTAAACTTCAAAGTCCCCCAATTGGAGGGTGCTAAGGCCCAAAGGGTTGGGGGACTGGGTGTGGGCCCGAGGCCACCAGTTGAGGTTCACTGGTCTAGTTTGTCCCTTAAAAAACAAAGAATACTTATTAGTACAATATTTGGTCTATATTTGATCAAAATTGATAAAATACCAGCATTTCCCATTGTTAAATGAAGACAGAAGTTTTTTTCTTATATTAAAACAAAGCTCTCAAAGGCAATGCTGATTTAATTTTGATAGTAGCTTAGCTAATTAGGATTTTGAGAGATCATGATGTTTGAAGAATAAAAAACAATAAATACACATCAAATTTTACAGGTTACATACAATTATTTAAAATAACAGACAACTTTATTTGTATTTCTGATATAAAACTCTACAGTTGTGAGCTTTCTCCTCAGCCATTTGCGAAGCAATGCCCAAGTCCACAGAAAGATGCATCAAATGCATCCTCGACATAATGGGCAGAGCGAGAACACATCCAGAAACTCGAAGCATACTAGCATGAAAGCCTTTTTAGGACTGAAACAGTGCTTGGGCCAGCGTTGATGACGTTTCACTAGGACGTGAAAACACAAGTACAGACGAATATGCATACTGAGAAATGACCAATTGCCTTTTTAAAAGGAGAAAAACTGGCAACCCCCTAGCCGGCAGAGAAGGAATCTGTTTCAGTGTAACCTTCCTTTCTGGAACAAGAGCTCTCCTCTTAACTGGAGGGTTGCAGGTTCGAGCCCTATCTTTCGCAGTCATTGTGTCCTTGGGCAAGACACTTCACCCTCCTTGCCTGCAGGTGGTGGTCAGAAGGACCGTCTATGACTGGCTTCAGTCAGTGAGCCACAGAGCAGCTGTGGCTACAATGTAGCTCATCACCATCAGTGTGTGAATGTGTGTGTGTGGGTGAATGACTGGTTGTGCTGTAAAGCACCTTGGGGGATCGTGAGACTCTTGAAGGCACTATTAAAATACAGGCTTTTTCTCTTCAACATTACTGAGACATTAGACTGTTTTCACAGAAAAATCGGTACTTATTTTAGCTTTAGCGTTAACCGCCACAGATGACCGTGACCTTACCTTCAGATAACATGCCTGCTGTGGCGCTGTCATGGAGCACCACCCCGTCATTCAGCTTCACAGAGTTTCTCACTTGCAGCATCCGCATCAGGTAGCGAACACCTTCCTGAATACACTGGGTCAAAATGTACGTTAGGTCTAATATCAGTGTGTGCCTAGAAAATAAGAATTCTTTCTTTTTAACTTAATTAACATATTTCTAGATTTCACGAGTACACACAGATCTCTGTACAGCGTGGTACCTCAAGGAACGTGTCCTTATTCTTCTTGATCCACTGTTTTCGCTGATGAAGTGTGTGACAGTACATGTAGAGCAGAGCTCCCCGTCTCCAGTAGAGGCATTCCAGCAGCTCTGTACCCAACACAGACTGAGCCTATCAATAAACAAAAAGATATTAATAGTGCTGTTGCATGGCAACACAAGAGCATGACATCAAACTATGTGCCCAAGTCTGCCATATGAAGTATTTTACCATGAGGGAACAAAAGTATAAAACATGTATTACCTTAGTAGGGCTGGGGGTAAACGATTATTTTTAAAACAATTATTCAGACGATTATTTTATCGAATAGTCGACTATTCTAATGACTATTTAGACGATTAATCTAATGATTAAATTTCTACTGCACAATTAATTAAAAACAAAAAATCTCTAATAAATTCCTCAAAAAAATTGATGAATTGTTACTGTAAGAGAATAAACTCTACAGGCCTTCCATTTTGTATAACACTGCTTTTATTGTGTTGGTTGGTTATGTTCTGGTGACGTGTAGAACTTGGGAGAGCAGGCTGCTGCCTGAGAGGTGGTTGGAGATGGAGTGTCTCCATGCTGCTTTGTTTTGGTCACTTATGTACGTGAGGCGAGTGGTGTTACGACTCTTCCTGGGGAGTTTGGCTCGTGTGCAAAAAGGAAGGGACAATAACGGGATTTAAAAGTTAAAATGATGATCAGGTTTATTTACAACAACAAAAAATCATAAATCTTTCCATCCACAGATCGGGAATAATAAAACTAATTCTGCCTGTGGGGTACTACAACAAAAGTACAAATAAGTAGGGATGTCCCACTGAGCAAAGATTACTGGGTTCTGGACCAAAATAGGGATCTCCAAAGGTCCAAACTCTAAACTGGGCGGTTAAACCAAACTCAAGGTGATATTTTAAACTAAACCGAAAACCCACAACACTCTAAATGTAATAAAAGGGAGATCTGCACCACAAAAAAGATGAACTCTAAACCAAAACGTAACAGCTTATCCAAACGCAAGAAGCTGTTAGCGAAGATACTAACAGTAGCTTTACCAACGCTAAGTTCAAGTTGCCAAGTTTAAATAAACCAAAAAATACCAGCAAACAGACCAGCACGGAGGAGAGACTGCTACCACTAAAACAGCTCTCCTAATGTCTGAAAGAAGCTCCTTTATGGAGGGAGAAACGCTCCCGGTGATTTTCTACATCTGCGGTAGAGACGAAGCAGCGCATCTGACCCCGGAAGTTGTTGTCCGTTGCCGGGAGACGAAGGCGGGCAAAACAGGAAAAGAATCTAGTAGTGGACGGACATTGTTCCGGTTCTTCGGTATTTGGTGGAGATGTTAGTGAAGGCGGAGAAGAGGGCGAACTAGAGGAAAAACAGGCAGAGTCCTCCTCTATTTACAAACTCCTGGGGATGCAACAAGTGGGCGCGGTGCGTCGACTACCGGATCTGACGTCGACAAATTTTTAGAATCGAGCCGTCGACGTCATCGAGGCTTCGTTACAGCTCTACTTATTAACCTGACAAACAATAGAAAGTTTTACATCATTTGTTGAGAATGAAACATTGAGAAACCTGCCGACCTCTTGTCCTGGTGCAAGCCTCGCCACCAAAACTTCTGGCTCAGTTAGGTCTTGCAGAAGCTGCTGGATTTTAAAAGGTGAACAGTCTTCAGGGAATTCCTGGTCGACCAGTTGGTTTTCTTCATAAAAAGTGATGTCAAGAATCACCTAGATCACAAAAAGAGAACAAACGTTAACTTACATGCAAGCAACTTGGTAGATCAAGAATACAACAAAAAGCTGAAACATTTTCTCATTGTATGTTCTTATGTTTATGTTTATTTATTCGCACAATAAAATATGCGTCATGAACATGAGAATAACAAATATATATAGTGCAGGAGGGGGCAAAACCCAAATTCAGCTTATATAAAGCCTCCACCTATAGTTCTTAATCAAATAAAATTTGCAAGTACTAAGATATTTAAAACATAGCAAAATACAAAGGCATGAACAAGCAAACAAAAGTGGATTAGTACATATAAATTGAACTAAAAAAACACAGACCATTAATACCTTCAAACAGAATATAACTACTAAATAAAATGAAAAGTTACTCTACATGCTCTCCCTTTATTAGATGATTTTTTAACTGCTTTTTAAAAACTTCCACAGTAGAACACGGTCTTGCCAAATGAGAACTGTTCAATAGAGTTGAGCCCCTATAACGGATGGAAAATTGTCCTAGACAAGAAAGATATTCCAGGGGATGAAGACACATCAACTGTCGTGTATTATGTGAATGAAAGAGTGAATTAGCTCTAAAGAAAGTTTTGAATTGTTTGGGTATTTTACCATTTGCCCACAAAATCCTATAAACTAAGACACAAATTTGATAAATATTCAATTCATAGGTAGTCAGTATATTTAGCCTCTGAAACAAAGGAACAGAAGATGCACGTAGATCGGATCTAGTTGCTATTCTGACAAAGCGTTTTTGAAGAAGTAGAATTTTGTTAAGAGTACTAGGGAATGTGCTACCCCAGGTCATGTTACAGTATGCAAGATAAGGATGCACTGGTACAATGTTTGAAGACATTTTGTAGAGACAAGAGTGCTCACTGTTCTTATTATACCGACTGATTTACTGATTTTTTTACTAACATAATCAACATGCATTTTCCAATTTAATTTCTCGTCAACAATAACTCCCAAAAATTTTACAAATGAAACATGTGGTAGTTCAGTAGCTTCAATTTTAATTTGATTTACACCTTTACTGTCTGGCTTTTTTCCACTAAATATAATAAAATTAGATTTACTGATATTTAAAGATAATTTATTCAATTTGAACCATGTGTTATAGGCAGCTAATCCATAATTGACCTTCTCAATCAATATTTCAAAATTTGGATGTGATACCACTAGAGTTGTGTCACCTGCAAACATAATTGGTGATAGCGTGACAGAGACATTAAATATATCGTTTATATAAATAAGGAACAGCAAAGGACCCAAAATAGAACCCTGTGGTACCCCACAATCAAGCTTGGCTCTGTTAAAAAAACATCTTTTGGCTGAAACGAGCTTCTTCTGTGGGATTGGACAGCAGTTGAATAGGATGCTTAAGGAGGACCTTGATGCTACTTTAAAATCCGTTTGCATTTGAAATCTGGCTAGGTCTTTGCATTTGCGCATTGCTGTTGATGTAGGAAGTCGGAATTGCTGCAGTTATACTGAAAACATGCAGAAGTGGTGAGTGTTTGGAAAAAAATAAACAGATGGAGATAAAACACGTTCAGACTTTCCTAACCTTTGGTTCTTCTGAAGATCATCAACTCAAGAAAAAAAATGTGGCTTTTCGAACATAGAATAAATAACAGAGTAACTCGAGTAACAGAGAGTCTCTTCTTCCAGCTCTTGGAGAGTACAGACGCTTTTTTCCTCCTCTCCTCCCTATCTTATCCCCAAGGCTCTTGGTCTGTCTTTGGGTGTACGGCGCTTCTACATTTTTTCTGGAAACTGGAAATTATTAAAAATGGACCGGTCAGCTGGTCTCTCAACACGACTGACAAAATTTTCTCAACGATGAGAACGGGAGAAGGGGCTCCCAGGTGCCCCTCTGGGACAGATCCAGTTGGGCATATCATGGACTCCTGGAAACAGTGGAACCTGATATGCCTCTCTCAACTGTCTGTAAAGGATTCTGAAGACGTATGGATATTCGTGGTGTTGATGTCAGGTTTCCTGATTTTTGGCCTGGGAGGTTACCTGGCTTACCGGAAAATTAACGAGCTGTCGAGGAATACTGGCTCTTTCCCGGAGCTCAGGGATGGATTACCACGCGCTGTGAATGCACAGACTCATATAATTGTCGAGATGAGTCGTAAGTTTGGTACTTTGGCTGAGATTCATGCAATGGAACAAAAGATGGATGCGATCAAGGAGCGAGTGGACGAATCAGCACGGATTGGGATAGATTAATTACGCCATTATTAGATTTTGTGAGGTTGAGGACCACCAGAACTTTAAGACAGAAAAGAAATTATCTCTGTCTGGCCCCAAAACAATTTCTTATCTGAATCTGGTACCCATGAGCCTGTGAGGCTGAAACGAATACCCCCACCCCCTGAAGAAATGTGGAATGCTGCTGTCGCCATGGCAACTCTGTCTCCCTATCCCAGCCTGGGCGGGACTGTGAGCTGTGAAGGCCGCTGAATCGTTCCAGGAGTCACTGTGCCCTCTAAACCCAACGACCTCCCACCCCTGTCCAGACTGAGGTGAAGAGCGCTGCTTATCGTGGCTGCATTCACTGACGTGTGGAGAGTCCCAAACCCTACCACCCCACCTAGTGGACACTTATGTTGTGTTATGTCTGAAGTCTGCTGCATTTGTGTCTGAGGTGTTTTTTGCATAGCAAAGCTGCCCTGCCTGTGGAGGGTAACTCTGAAGTGCCTTTTTTTTACTCCACCTGACCCAATCCTCATGTAAACCCCTCTGATTTCTATTAAAGTAACGCAACTCATGTTGCGAATGACCACAGTCACCAATTCTTGTTATGTGTCTTTGCCTATGTATGTCTGATCTCAGAATTGTGTGTACTGAAACTCTAATTTCCCTCTGGGATTAATAAAGTATCTTTGAATTTGAATTGATGCAGTAAAATATCAAGCATACAAGGGTCCTCCATACTGTGACATGGATGGACAAGTGTGTGAGTAACATTTCAAACATTAGTTTGTTTTTTGATTTAGACTGTCCTTGCTTTATTTGGTCAATGTGTTTCTGTGCCCTCCTACTTTTACTTGATGGGACCATTTAGTTACTGGAAACAAGCTAAAAAATCCCAACGCTTTATAGACATATATACAGGTGAATAACAATATTTAACACTGTGAACATGTTTGTGTCTGACTGGAACTTTTGTAGGATGTTATCGATCCTTAATTATAGTATTTTATAATAGATCAGTATGTTCCCTTTCGTTTTAAACACCTACTGGTTAGTTACACAGTCTTAATCATGAATAAAATGTACTAAGATAGTCACTTAATGAGCTGTCTGCCGTCACGACATCAAATACCTGTGTGTAATCCTGAAGAAGCTTGGAGAGGTTGCTACACTCTGCACCTTGTCTGTAAAAGCCTTTTAACTTGTCTAGTATGGTAGACGCATTCTGCAAATAGTCGTCATCTATGGAAAAACAACACGTTAACACATCACCCAGGGTTCAAATGGTGAAGATGGCAAAGAACACAAATGGGCATTTCCAAATACTTAACATTTAGAAACAATAACAAATTTAAAGATTGCATCCATATTCTGAGTACATCAATATAATTTACATAAACGTTAAAACCCCTATAGAGCTGGTTTGAGAGTTACCCGCAGACTCGAAAACCATTAATTCAATTCAATTCAATAATTTTATTTCACTCAAAATTTAAATATACAAACTTCAATTCAGAATACAATTGCCAACCAGAATATAAGCGTTCGAGTGAAATAGGCGGAGGAAGAAGAAAAAAATCTTATATGACCTACCCCCTTTGACTAAGACAAGATAAATTACAAAAAGTACAAAATGGCCTTATACACAAAAAGTAAACCGCTCTCTTTCTTCCACAAATAATATCAATACTAAAACATTAATCCTCCATCCTCAACTCACCAAATCATACGATTAATCAAAGCCAGCATCACTTAGTGGGTCAATTTCACAACAACACATACGATTAACCGCGACAGTTGTTACGATTTGTCAATGGACACAATTTTGTCTAACACTAGCTGTTGCTATGGCTGCAAGCTAACGTCTGTTAGCTAGTTTGCTGACAAGACAAATAATTTATGCAAGGTGGAGGAGTTAACCAGAACGCCACGAAACAAATAAATCAAATATGTCTTCGATACCTTGTTTTTCAGCTCTGAGAGTGGAACACTTGATGTCCAGCTCAAATATTCGTCTCTCCAACTCAATTCCTTGCCGTCTATAGTCGTCTGCCATGACTGAAAAGTAGTCGTCACGTGAGCACAGGATTACTCACGTGCTCATAGAGCGTCAGTAGGTCTGCTCCTTTTTGGTTCACCTGCGCACGACCGGGTTGTACGGTCAAAAAACTAAAACAAAGAATAAGGAAACACCTCGAAACTCTCAGTATTATTCAGATTCTCTAACATTATTCATTCTTTTAGGACAACATTTTGGTATTCATTCCCAACAGTTATGTTTGCTTTAGCTAGTTCTGAACTGGACAACCAGTGTTTGCCGAAAACACATGAAAGTAATAATTTCAGTGAAAAGAATCCCAAGATGCGTCATTTAAAATAGTTTTTATTTTCTTCACAAAAATGTTTTTACGTGTTCTCAAGTAAACAAAAAGAGGAAAAAGAAACAGAACTTTATTTATTATCTTTTTAAACGAACCTAAAGGCCTAACCAGTGCCATTGCGTGTGTTTGAATGGGGCAGACCCAGTAAACAGTCAATCTTTTGTCGCTTACGTACAACTTTAAACAATAAAAGTAAATAAAGAAACATGTTTTAACAGTTTCATTCTTGTGTCTAAATTACGGTGATGTGGCTATTGATTTCCGTCCGAGCGTGGAGGTGGTGAAAGGGTTAAATTTAAATATGCGAGCCCTGCCCCCCAGCACCCCCCTCCCCTGTTGTTTGATGCTGGCCAATGTCGTTGTATCGCTGAGCTACTTGGGGCTACCAGCCATACTTTATGACCTTTTCATTTGATATCCACTGTTTGCAGGCTTCTCCCTCTCTTCCCATCGACTCGCGTACCTCCAAAACATGGCGGCCCTGAAAGCGGTTAGCAGAGTAGAGAAAGCACTCCTCGCAAGTCTCCGCAGAACCAAATTAAACTTGGCTAGCCAGCAGTTCAGAAAGGTCTGTATTAAGCATGCATTGATGCTAATTTGTTGAAGTTATGAAAGCCTACATGTGTGAAATGTCCGGGCAAGAATAATGCTCATTTGTGAAAAGAATTTGAATTTGCATTCGGTAAATTAGCGACTCTGTTGTAATATCGTCAGCCATCGTGACACGTTTAAAGCCACAACACCAACCGGACAACTTTTTAATCTACGTGATGTAATTTAAATTCGTCATACTCCACTTCTGCCCACTCAGTGCATTAAAGCCAGATATTTACCCTGTGAGACCATAAAGCCCACTAGTTTGCAAGAACAGTTTTTACAAACAATCCTAATTTTAAAATTCTGTGGGTTTTTTAAAATCATCAGATTGCGACCTCACTCATTCACTAACTGCAGTCATTCAGAATGACTGTTTTCTCCATGTTATTGAATGCAACACCGTTACAGTACATGCGTACCTGTTTAAAAAATGAATGCTCCTACTTCAGTATCGTTTCGTCTCTTTCCTTTTGCAGACTTGTGGCTGCTACTTTTCCACCTCTAATTATAGAGGTTCAAAGTTCTACTCAGATCCCGCTGAGGCAGTGAAAGACATCCCTGATGGAGCTACCGTTCTGGTTGGAGGTAAAATACCATACCAGAGATGTTGTACCATGAATGTAAACAGTTTAGTGCATGTAAAATACTCGTGTTGCTGATGGCAGTGGTTTGTTTAGATGAGCAGTAAGTAGGGCTGCAACAAACGATTATTTGGATAATCGATTAATCGGATGGGGTCTCGACACGATTAATCGATTAATCGGATTACATGGGGAAATTTTTAAAAACTGCTAGGGAAACGTTATTTCTCTCCTTCCTTCACTTTATTTAACACAACATTATTAGAAAACAGTTCAATAGCAGAAAAACAACATGCCATCACCTAAATTGTCTTATAAGGTGTATAGACAGAGACCCTAAGCTACATCTATCTGTGACCTAAAATGCTTGGTCCAAGTTAAACAGCTTAAGGGCAATTCTCATCTGTTTTGTTTGATCTCATCTGTTGACATTTATTTTAAATGTAATTAAACATAGGCTGTGAATTAATCAAAATTGATCACTATTTCCAAAAATGACTGAAAAAATACCAAATAAAACAAAAGTAAATGAATGCCATTCTCCTTGCGATGATGCCCTGGGCAACTGCCATAAAGTCACATCAAGAAATGCTGCTGATCATTCCAATGATCCCAAATAGACTCACATTAGGCCACATGAAAGCAACTGAACCCAAAAATATATTAACCAGTATATAACTGCACTCTCACACAACACGCCTGCAGCAACAGTTAGGACTCCTCCCTCCCTTTTAAAAGCGTTTTTGCTTCCGAGGACATTGTGGTTGTAAAACCACATGCTAGTAGTCTGGCCCCGGTGTGATCAACCAGTTTCTGCGGGAATGTGACGGCGGAACCAGGGCCAGATTAACACTTTGTTGTACCCTGGGCAACAGTATTCAAGGGCTCCATCATCACGACCCGAGGATCACCATAATGTGGTCACATACAGAATATTTTACTGTAATATGCAGTAAATATACTCAATACTTGAATGCCTGACAACACATAACCCGCCCAGAGTAACCTTTGACCCACCTCGTGTGGACTGACCAATGAGGAGAGGGTCTTAACTTGAGGCCCTCTCTTCATTGGTCAGTCTGCATGAGACTGACTCTCAACTGACATTCGAAGTCATAGGCAGCAAAGCGTCTCTGTGCAGCGCAAAAGCCCGGGTGGACAGTTTGTTTAATGTAGGGTGATCATATTTCCATTTCCAAACAAGAGGACAGGGGATCTGTGCCTATGATGTCACACTATGGCAACACCACACAAACCATGTTGGGACCCATTTTTTGTAAGAACTAAATTAATATCAGATTCTGCCAATTAAAGGGCTCTAAAACAATTCATATGTAAATATTTTGCATATTTAATGCAAAATCTCATTTTTATGCTTTAGTGCTGCAACAAGGTTTTATTAATAATAAATTATTATACCTTTTGTTTTACTACAGCATCGGTAAGCTTCCTGTGCACAGATTATTAAGGATGCTTGTTTCAGCTGTGAGATTAGACGATAGGATCAATGAAAAAATAAGTTGTCACACACTCCATGGAAACTTTCAGATAATCCACAAATAGTGGCTTTCAAATGGTTTTGTTACTTTTTGCAAGTTTAGAAAAGAAGCAGATGAGACAGCATGTCTGATAATTTAGTTTTTCATCTGATATATTAGAACATGTCAGTAATGTCTGAGGGGCTTTTATAAACACCATATAACTAACACTCCTGGAGAGGGTATGAATTACAGAGAGGCTTCTGGGGAGCCCAGTTATTGGGGGGGGGGGGGGGGGGGGTATGGGGGGGAGACATTTTGCCTTGGCCCCCAAAATGTCTTGAAACGGCCCTGGGTGTGTGACTGAGTTTTGAAGGTGATCTGAATTGTATCAGATGTATAACTATGACATGTGTATAACTTATTGTTTTTTACTGGTAAAAACGTGTCGTGGAGATAAATCTACCTACATTTTACTTTGTTTTCTTGTTTTTATTTAACTATTTTCCTGTCCTGTCTGTCTCTCATCTTCCTGCATCTCCTCATAATTCTCCAGAAAATCTGTTGCCTGGATTCTTACTTTTTCACCTCATCAGTTACTTTTGAGCAGATCAAAGAGATCTCCTGACCGCAAAGCGGAGAGCGCGTTTTCGATGCTGCGTGAGGTGACATCACCACAGCACAGGTGATGAGCTCCGCAGCAGAGCGTTTCAGGCACAAATAAGACAGAAAATAGAGAACATGTGCAGACAAGAACGATCGTGTGCTAATTATAGTTTTTTGGTTGCGCCACTTTGAGAATGGACCGTGCGCTGGAAGCAGCTGCCTGGATCGCTGTGCAACAATGCGGAACCGGTTTGCAGCAGCGCAAGTCTGCAGGCTCTCCCTCGCGCTGATCTGCGGCTCTCCCTCGCGCTGATCTGCGGCTCTCCCTCGCGCTGATCTGACTTGCTCTGGTCTGCGCGCAACGGTGGGCGGGAAGGGGGGGGGGGGGGGGGATGCGCTTTTGGAAGAGTTGTGCGACACAACGAATCGATGACGCAATTCGTTGCCAACGCTTTTAGTAATCGATTTTCATCGAATTCATCGATTCGTTGTTGCAGCCCTAGCAGTAAGGATGTGCAATAGCAAGAATCTGGCGATGATATATTACAGGGAGTGCAGAATTATTAGGCAAATGAGTATTTTGTCCACATCATCCTCTTCAGCTGTATAGGCTCGAAAGCCTTCTACCAATTAAGCATACTAGGTGATGTGCATCTCTGTAATGAGAAGGGGTGTGGTCTAATGACATCAACACCCTATATCAGGTGTGCATAATTATTAGGCAACTTCCTTTCCTTTGGCAAAATGGGTCAAAAGAAGGACTTGAAAGGCTCAGAAAAGTCAAAAATAATGAGATATCTTGCAGAGGGTTGCAGCAGTCTTAAAACTGCAAAGCTTCTGAAGCGTGAACAATCAAGCAATGAACATCGAACAATCAAGCGTTTCATTCAAAGTAGTCAACAGGGTCACAAGAAGCATGTGGAAAAACCAAGGTGCAAAATAACTGCCCATGAACTGAGAAAAGTCAAGCGTGCAGCTGCTAAGATGCCACTTGCCACCAGTTTGGCCATATTTCAGAGCTGCAACATCACTGGAGTGCCCAAAAGCACAAGGTGTGCAATACTCAGAGACATGGCCAAGGTAAGAAAGGCTGAAAGACGACCACCCTATATAATTAGAGATGTTCCGTTCCGATATCGATATTGGAGGTAATTCGATATCGGCACAAAAACACTGTATCAGATTATATCGGACAGCATCAAAAATCTCTGATATAAGCAGTCAGTTAAGGTTCACATTTCTGCAACCAGTGTTTTTAAACATTGTCATTTTTTCATACTTACTGTTGCTGGCTCTTGTTCTCTGAGTAACGTCACTTGATCAAGCCTTTCATACATTCCACACTACGAAATAGATAAAAGTGCATATGATTTGTGCTGATATTGTATCAGATTAATATCGGTATCGGTCAGTACTGAAGGCAACAATATCAGTATTGTATCGGAAGTGAACAAGTTGTATTGGGACATCCCTAATATATATATATATATATATATATATATATATATATATATATATAATATACCCCGTTCAAACATAAGCGCGTTCTTGGTATCAAAAAGCGTTTTAAAAATTCACAGACATCATATGTGAAGTCCATGGCACATAACAAACAGAATTAGAAAATTGCATTTTTAACCCCAATGACTTGCATTCATTTTTTTTGTTCGTCTGGGACCCATGATGCGGAAGTAGATGGGCGTGACTTAGGCTCCCTATATCGATTCAGAATCATAACATGACATAATATTTCATATTAATATTGTCCTACGTTCCTAATGAGCAGTGCTATATTTACTGGAAAGTCAGCTTTAGCAGGCTGGTTGATTAACATCCAAACACACTGTAACAATTTCCATGGCTCTTATTTATAGTCAAGTTCAGAGTGACATTGTTAAACTATTTCCACCGTGTCACACCTCAGTCAGACGGGGGAACAAAATGAAAGACGGATTGAAAGCAGACTAAATTATTCTAAAAGTAGGAATCTTGGCTCCCTGAATCCACAGAAGTAGACTTTTCTGTGACTTCATTCAAGGTTGCTGGACTTTGAGTTTTCCTGTGATTTGTAATAAGAGAACAGTGTCATGTGTTTGTTTGCCCTGCAAATATACCATGACCTTAATCTAATAGGTGAAAGTTCAGCCTCATGAACAATTAACCTGTTGATTTTAGCATGCATAATGTCTGTTTTTTCCTCTGCAGGTTTTGGATTATGTGGCATTCCAGAGAATTTGATCAACAGTTTACTGAAGGTCGGAGTCAAAGGCCTCACTGCTGTCAGTAATAATGCAGGGTAAGTGTGGAAACAAGACATAAAACAAGTTATTTTTGTTGTAACTGTGATCACACTCTTGCTACTAAGAAGACACATTTAAATCTGTGCTTTCGTGGTACACTATGTCAGTAGTTTTACAAGGTCATGTGCTCTGGGGTCAGTCATGTGTCAAAGCTAAATTGCATGCACTAAAATGTCATGGAAATCATTCGTAGAAAAAAGGTGTTGCACACATCTCTTCCTTTATTACCCCCAAAAAATCTAAACTGAGACGGCTTTTATCCCGTCTTTCTAAAAAATAAATCTCAATGAAATTCATGGGGGTCATAAAAAATAATTGTTATTCTTCATTCAAACTTTTCTAAGTACTTACTTTACTTTGCTGGGTAACCTGGACGATGTCCCGATTGAAACATCTTTGGTTCACGTGGTTCTGACTGCCATATGCATCGCTAAGAAAACTATCCTCATGAATTGGAAAAATAGAGATACTCTTTGCATTAACCAGTATAGAAATATTTTGTTAGATCATACTACACTTGATATAGCCTCTGCTTCCACTTCAAATCAATCTCTTTGGGCTCCTTTGATCAGTTCCATCGCATAGCGATGATGGGGGGTCATTGATATTGTCCTGTGGGGTGATGTGGGTGGTGGGGTGGAGGGTCTGAGTTTGGAGTATGTGGGAGTTGCCTGAGGGTCGGTTCACTGGGGGCGTCTAGGGCTGGGGGGGCTACTGCCCCCCTCTGGAGGTGCTTGGGTTGCCTCGGGGGATGGACTACTGGCGGTTGTGAGTGGGGCCCCTTGGCAGGGTTCCCACGCGTCCTGGAAAACCTGGAAAATGATTGTCCAATTTTCCAGTCATGGAAAACACATGGAAAATGGGGGGAATTGCAAAATGTCCTGGAAATTTTTGAGTTGTCCTGGAAAATAATTTTCCCTCCTTGTGGATAAACAAACGGATTAAACATTTTGGGCAATATTGGGCTGTAGCGCTTCTCCTTTAATTTCTGCATCTAGCTGGCACAGTGCCCCACATGACGCTTCCAACCAATCAGATTGCATATTCCTCTTCAGTTCCAGTTCCACTTCTGTTTTTCCAACTGTCTTTTTTTTGCTAGATTTACAGATTTTTCACCCCTAGATTTATTTATCCAAAGAAGGGCCAAAAGTAGCGACTCGGTTCACGAGTATTGCTTTATCGCAGTTTATAGATTGAGAGGTTTTTCTCTTTCTCTCTGTTGAGTGACAGAGCAGCGGAGAGCTTTTGTTTTTTCACTCATGCGTTGAGACAAGCGAACATGACGAGATCTTCGGGATAGCAACGGATAGCAGGTAGTCTACCGGACCCGCTCTCCACTCAGTAATTCATACTAGTTCTATCGTCCGACAGCAGAAACAAAAATATGTGAATGAGAAAAATGTCATGAATTCGATTCTATCAAAAATACTAAGTTTGTGCTCAGAGGACAGAGCCTCAGCTGTTCATACTGTTTTTAGCTAGCTACACAGACCGCAGCCAGGTGGCAGTGAGAACTGAAGACTGGCATGGTCATTTGAACAAAGTTGTTAACATAATTAATTTGAATTCAACACGGCTAAATTAATAACTAGAATGATTTTAAGTGGTTACTATATATTTATCATAGTAATGCTACGTACAGTCCAGACAAAAATGGTAGCGAACAACTACAAGTACTTATCTCTGAGGTAGAAAAAATATATTTTTTCAGGTCCAATATGTCTTTGGTGTTAGCGGGAGATGTTAGCCTTGTCATCTACCCTGAATCTTGTTTCTGGATGACTGGACTAACCTAAAATGACCAATGCTGGAACAACAAAATGCAGTTTAACATCCAACTATGTGAAATAAGCAGTAAAGTGTAATGTGGTGTGTACAATAAGTATAATACATAGAATAGGAAAGATATGAAAGAGATAAGGTTTGAAAAGCAGGCCTAATTTATTGAATAAACAGTCAATATAAACAGTAATAATCTTTCAAAATATGTCTTTGTGTCCTTTAAAGGCAGGAAAGAGTGATGCCAGGAAGACGGTGCAAATTCAAAACTTTTCAAAACTGGCTTTTTGCTAGCCCCAAGACTCTCTGCCTGTGTGTTGGGGTTTACCCCGGGGGACGAGAGGGTAGCTTCCCTGTGCCTTCGGGTCGGGGAACGGGTCCTGACTGTTGTTTGCGCTTATGGGCTAAATATCAGTTCAGAGTACCCACCTTTTTTGTAGTCCCTGGGACGAGTGCTAGATAGTGCTCCATCAGGGAACTCCACTGTCCTACTGGGGGACTTCAATGCTCACGTGGGCAATGACAGTATGACCTGGAGGGGTGTGATTGGGAGGAACGGCCTGCCTGATCTGAACTCGAGTGGTATTTCATTAGTGGACTTCTGTGCAAGCCGCAGTTTGGCCATAACGAACACCATGTTCGAACATAAGTGTACCAATGGATAGGGATGGGTACCGAATTCGGTACTTTTTAAGGTACCGACCGAATTCCATAGTACCGACCGAGCACCGATTCACGTCATTTCAAACGGTGCCTCGTTTCGGTACCCGTCCTTCATAACGAGAACTTGCCAAGACAGCTGCGCATGCGCAAGAGCGTTATGTCGTCGCTTGCTGTGAACCAGTTGTAAACAGAGCAGCATGGTAGAGAGAACGCAGGCTAAAGCTTGGGTCCACTTCACTAAATGTGATGGGTAACTGGATGATGAAACCAGCGACAACTATCTAAGTGAGACATCCTCATCTTAATCTGCTCCGGTAGGTAAATATAATTATCTTGATATGTTAGCTTCCGTTTCGCTAATGGTGCGTTCGCTTTCTCCTCGGAACTCCGAATTTCCGACTAGAACAACATGAACGCGCTCTAAAGTTTGGCTTCACTTTACTAAATGTGACGGGTGAAGACGAAACCAGTGACGATCTAAGTGTGAGGCATCATTTTAATCTGCTCCAGCAGCTAAATAAACTGTTTAAGATATCGTTAGCTTGATATGTTAGCTTCCATTGCTACCATTGTTATCAGCTAATGGTGCGTTCGCGTTCTCCTCGGAAATTCTAACTTCCCAGTAGGAAAAATCAAATGAAAAAGGACGGTAAAAGGAATGAAGATACACAGTAAATTTAGTTCACAGTAAAGATGTTTGCTTCAGTTTAATTATCAGCTTATAAAACTACAAGGGCGATGTTAAAATACAAACAGTTGTATGTTATTTATCGTGATATTTATCAAATATGGTTATATATTGAGAAAAATATATATTAATTATAAAAGAGAATTAAAATAATAAACACTCAAAAGTATCGAAAATTGGTACCGTTAAGTACCGGTATCGATTCGTAGGTACCGGTAATTAGTACCGGATCGATTCAAATGTCAAAGGTACCCATCCCTACCGATGGATGCCCATCGGTACACTTGGTACCAGGGCAGCCTAGGTCGCAGGTTGATGATAGATTTTGTAGTCTTATCATCTGACCTATGGCCGTATGTTTTGGACACCCGAGTGAAGAGAGGAGCGGAGTTGTCAACTGATCACCACCTGGTGGTAAGTTGAATCAGATGGCAGGGGAAGATGCTGCATAGACCTGGCAGACCCAAACACATAGTGAGGGTCTGCTGGGAACGCCTGACAGAAGAACCTATCAAGACGGTCTTCCCCTCCCACCTCTAGCAGAGCTTTGACCGCGTCCCGAGAGCAGTGGGGGACATTGACTCCGAGTGGGCCTTGTTCCACTCTGCGATTGTTGAGGCGGCTGTTGCTAGCTGTGGTCGCAAGGTGGCCGATGCCAGTCGTGGTGGCAACCCCAGTACCCGCTGGTGGACACCAGAGGTTCGGGGAGCCGTCAGGCTGAAGAAGGAGGCCTACAAGGCGTGGCTGGTCTGTGGGTCTCCGGAGGCAGCAGACAGGTACCGGATATCCAAGCAGGATGCAGCAGTGGCAGTTGCCGAGGCAAAATCTCGGGCGTGGGAGGAGTTTGGTGAGGCCATGGAGACAGACTATGAGGTTCTGGCAAACTGTCCGGCGCCTCAGGAGAGGAAGGCAGTCACTTGCTCACACTGTTTACAGTGGAGATGGGGAGCTGCTGACGTCAACTGGGGCTATAGTCGGATGGTGGAAGGAATACTTTGAGGAGCTCCTCAATCCCTCCTACGCGCATTCCGAGGAGGAACCAGAGCCAGGAGACCTGGGGATGGACTGTCCAATCTCGGGGGCAGAAGTTGCTGAGGTAGTCAAACAACTACACAGCGGCGGAGCACCGGGGGCGGATGAGATTCGCCCTGGGTATCTCAAGATTATGGATGTTGTAGGGCTGTCGTGGTTGACACATCTCTGCAACATTGCGTGGTCATCAGGGGCTGTTCCTGTGGAGTGGCAGACCGGGGTGGTGGTCCCCATCTTTAAGAAGGGCGACCTGAGGGTGTGTTCCAACTATAGGGGGATCACACTCCTCAGCCTCCCTGGAAAGGTCTACTCCAAGGCATGGACGTAATTTGGGGGGGGGACAGGGGGGACATGTCCCCCCCACTTTTTCCAAAGTCAAGTTTTGACCCCTGCTTTTTTTACCATCCAAAAACAATATTACGCTATATTAAATTGACACTGGTTGAGCTCTAGGACCAAGCGGAAAACAATTGTTTGTGTTGAAGCCTGTTTCCCATTAGAGCATACTGTAAAGATTCACACACACACACCCCACCCCACTCCGTGTCCCCCCCACTTCTAAAGTGAAAATTACGTCCATGCTCCAAGGTACTGGAGAGGAGGGTCCGATCGATAGTTGAATCTCAGATTGAGGAGTAGCAATGTGGTTTTCGTCCTGGCCGTGGAACTGTGGACCAGCTCTATACCCTTGCAAGGGTGATGGAGGGGGCATGGGAGTTTGCCCAACCAATCCACATGTGTTTTGTGGATTTGGAGAAGGCTTATGACCGTGTCCCTAGGGGCACCCTGTGGGGGACGCTCCAGGAGTATGGGGTGGGTGGCTTTCTGTTAAGG